GGTGATGCATGAAAGGGAACAAAAAAAAAAAAACCTTGAAAATATTTTTAAAACACCATGAAGCAGAAATACATCTAAAAGTGTAATGATAAAAACAAAAAAGATGTGGCTGTGATTGGCGGCATGGACCTTTAATCTCAGTACTCAGGGAATCAGGACCATGTGGGTCTGTCTGAATTCTAGGCCAGCCTGGTCTGTGTAGTAAGAACAGGGTGAATTGCCTTTTTTTTTTTTTTTTTTTTTTTTTTTTTTTTTTTTTGAGCAGACTCTTCTTGGGTTCTTAGGGTGGAAATGGCCAGTTATCTAATATGAAGATTGGGAGTGTCAGTTGAACTAGTAGACTCTTGTATTTGCTATAGTTTGTACTGGTACTGTATCTGTATTAGACAAGTATCTAATGTCCACCTGACTTGTCTGTATCTTGGTAGCTCACCTTCTTGACTTACCAGGGGCCTGTTCTGTCCACACTGAGCTTTTCAGTCTGAGGGCTGGCGTGGTTCTCACCCTCCTGACACTCCCTAGATCCTAACTGCTGGTGAGGCTATTATTTCATCTTGCAGAAATTTTCCAAGTCTATCAAGACTGTGGAAAAAGGGACCAAGTCCTGAGGCAGTTCTGCCTTCATGGTTTTTGAAGAACCTCCTGGGTGTTAATCATCTTCCTGGAACTATGCAACAACAGTTTTAAGTCTCTGTAGCAGTTAGGTATGGCTACAGGGGTTGATCCTCACTGTCAGGCCTCTCAAACTCATGAGTTTTCTCAGTCGGTGAGAGCTGTTGCTAGCCACCAAGGGCAGGATATCTTTTGATGACTCATCTCCTGTCCTTTGCCTATTCTCCTACCATCTATGCCCTTTTATTTGTCACTGTCTACCTGTCCTGACCTCCACAACAGTTTCCCTGAGCCTTTTCTTAACTCAGTGGATGAAGTAGGCCAAATGGCAATTTCCCAACCTTTATCTCAGGCTCTTATTGTAATTCAGTTTTTAGTGACAGACTTTCCCTCAAGATGGTATTCAGCTGCTGTCCATCACATTGAATGAAACATGAGATTTCTATCCACTGGAGGATAGAAACCTCACCAAAACCAGCAGCTGAGTTTGATGTGAGGATAGGACTTTAGACTTGAGAGTAGAGTCTCATCTTTCTTGTTCTCATTGTCCTTCACACGATGTCCTTCATATATCTTAAAATATATACCATGTTGCTACTGAACCCTTTCTCCATTGATAAAACATTGTTCTTATTTAATACCCAATACAGTTTTAACATTTTCCTTTTATTAGCGTCTGATGTCTTACTCTTATATTTATTGTTAATCTAAGTACCATTTCTAGTGCTGCAGTTAGGCTTAAGGAAAGCTGACTTAAATTCTGATCAAGAGTTTGGTCTGTTTAAAGAGTAATTTTTAGTCAGTTTTCAACTCACCTTCCACAGTTACATAAAACGTGTGCAAGGAATTGATTGAAGCTCTACCTCAGCAGTGGTACACTTTTCTTGGACTCAGTACACTGGGTTTAATGCCTGGTGAGCAACAGTAAATAAATAAACACACCTGTAGTGCATTTTATTGCATTTTTTTTTTTTAATGTATGAGTGTTTGTACTTGCTTGTATGTATGTGTCCAGGTGCATGCCTGGTGCCATGGAGGTCAGAAGGTGTCAGATCCCTTAGAACTAGAGTTAGAGACAGTGTGACCTACCATGTGGGTCCTGGGAACCAAACCTGCTCCTCTACAAGAGTAACAAAGTGATCTTAACTGCTGGGTCATCTCTCTAGGTGCACCCCCATCCACCCCCCTCCCCCACCCCGTTTTGTTTTTTTCCAGATAAGGTTCTTATATCCTGAGCTGGCTTCAAGCTTAGTATGTAGCTAGGGATGATCTTGAGTTCATCCTTTGCCTCCTACATGTTGAGCTCATCCTTTGTCTCCTACAAATCACAAGTATGTTACCTCACATAGTTTATTATTAAATTTTTTTTTTGGAGCTGGAGAGAGGGTTCAGTGGTTAAGAGCATTGGTTCAGCTTCCAGATGATCTGGGTTTGATTCCCAGTGCCCACATGGTACCTAACCCCCTGTAAGTTCAATCCCAAGGAACGGCGCTCTTTTCTAGCCTCTGTTGGCACTGCATGAATACGATATATAAACATACATGTAGGCAACACTCATGCATGTTTAAAAAAATGTTTTCTCGAAATTGGTGGTATTTTTACAGTACGTGAACACAACCACCTGATTTATAGTTCAGTCTCTTAATGCACTCTGTTTTTACCCCACCTGGCAGTTTTATGCATTGTGAATTTAAAGAGGAGCTCAATGTAACATAAGCTTTACAAGCTGGGGAAATATTATTGAAATGAAACATGAATGAAGACCATTTAAACAATAAAATAATGCATATAGACTATAAAAAAATGTTCTCTCAATATTTTATTTTCCTTTCTGGTTAACTGTTTTCTGTGTTTGTATTTCTAACAATCATTAAAAAAAGAAACCTTTCAAATGTCCTTAAAAATTACTGATCAAAAGTAGTAAAGCATGAGGTACAATTTGCTTAGTGATACTTAGTGTTCTGTTTAAAATTCTGTCAAGACTTCTGTAGCAGCAAGGATAGCTCTTTGAGTAGTAAAAGATTTCCTTAAGTAGTGATCAAAAGTTCTCTTATTTGATAGGAAAAAAGGAAGGCTACTTGGAATATTAAATACATAAGGGAAAGTATACATTAGTTCTATTGTTGCTACTCATTTGAATAGGGAAAAATAATATTAATTTAAGTTGATATAATTTTTGAATAATAAGCTCAGGAATACAATAGGACCTTATTATTAGATTTAATTTGTGAGAAGAGGATGGAGGGAACACAAGTTGCCATTATTTTTGTTAAAACTGACATATTTATCAAAAAGTTAGAAGGGCTCATAGTTTGTTAACCTGAGAAATAATTGTAATGGTATGTAAAGCAGACTTACTCAGATTCATATGAACAAAGTGAATCATACCCATATTTGGAATTAGAGTTACACATATTTTGTGTAACAAAATCTTGTGTTATATGTATGTTAGCATAAAATTCCATTTTTGTGATAAATACAAGTCAGAACCAAGTCAGTTGTCTCTTATTATTTTGGAGGAGTTGATTCCAGGTCCTTTGTGAATAACCAGGCTCTGTGGTTGCTCTAGTTGCTTATTTAAAATAGCATATAATTTGTGCACAAGCTGTGTGTCTTCTCACATGTACTTTAAGTCATCTCTGCATTACTGAACAATAGCTAATGCAATGCAAGTGCCTTATAATTAGTTTTTACATCTTGTTTGTGGAAAGAGGCTGTACATGTTTTGTTTATTGACGTAGCTAATGGAAAGTGGTGGCATTATTTTGCCTTCAGTTTTGGAAATGAAGCTAAATGATTGGAGTGAATGAGTTGACTCAATTTCTGGAATTAAGAGAATGGAATTAATTAAATTATGGAATTAAACAAATGAGTGTTGTAAAGCCTTTGTGTATTTAGCAAGCACTTGTGCTAGATGGTGGGATAGACTTTGTTTCCTGAAGTCAAAGAGTGCTGTTCTTAATTTACTTACCAGAGATGTGCAAATGCATTCTTATCCCTGTTACTACTCTTCTTGATCTTTTCTTTCTAATCTTTCTCTTCTGCTCTAGTAACAAGTTACTCATTTTATTAACTATTTTACCAATTTTGAATTGATTTCCTGTTTTCCAGCCCCATTCACACTGATGACAAAATACTCTTTGAAAAATACATCTAGTCTGGGTACTCTGCTGCTTGATGTCTATTATAGTTTATCATATTTCCTCACATCATTACTTCATATTGTAAATTACTGTCTAGGCTGCTTGCTACTTGGTAACTTTTCTAGTTTGCTTCAGGACTCAACCACTAGCTTGTACATAAGCGGGCAGTGCTTTAGTTAGTGTTGGCAGAGTTTGAATTAATACACATCATCTAACTTCCACTACTGTGTACGTGTTATATCTGTGTTTTATTAGTATGAAGCAGAAAACTTGTGTTTGTTTGACTTTGTAGGTTCTCTTCAGATCTGACGGTTTGGGTTTTGTTTCCTATTTGCATTAGATTGGAATGTCTTAGAAGAATGGTTACATGAAACCATAGTAAAACTAGATCCTGCCAAACAGTCAGTAATTTTAAAAGTGCCTGTTTTCTATTTTAACTTAGAAATGTGGCAGAAATACTGATAAGTTTGAATTTCTAGGATCATTATATGAGGATTTATGACATGGTCTATACTGTTTTAGAAACTTGAGATTTTCATATTAAAATATAAAAATAGAACCCAAAAGTTCTCATCTCTGTTTTGGAATGTGAAATTGTAGTATTTATTTCCAAATAAAGAATTAATGGGGAACATCTTCCTTTAAAAAAAAAGTCTTAAAAATTTAAGCTAAATAAAATAATTTATGTATGTATTGGTTTCGTAGAGATAACCCTTTTTTTTCTGAACAATGATTTTAGCCAATGTTGTATAATTTTAGCTGAAGGTCAGTGATAGTTAACTTCAGTTTTGTTACACTTTCAGTTTTCTAAAAGTTTCCCCAAATTACCATACTTTTCATTTTGTATAGCAAAATGACATGTATGGTATTAGGAACCAGTGTATTTGTTTTGCAATTAGACTTTACATTATTATTGCAGAAATTCAATTTCTTTGTGAGACTAAAGTAGAGATAATTGTAGATGGTGACCATTGATGCATGTTATTACCTATATCTTCTCTTGTTTGCTTATGGTTACACAGATTTTAATTATTGAATGACTTAATAAAATAAGGAATTTAGGAAGAAGATTATTACTTAAAATTTTCTTTTTCAATGCCTAAAATGTGATTGTTGATATGTGGATATATTATCTCCACATATTATATATATTTATATATATAATTTTATATATATATATATAATTGCAATGTGATTATTACTTATAGGATTAATTCTTATCAATGTGCCTATTGTAATTTCCAGGGCTCTGATGATTGTCTTGTAAAGATCTGGGCCACAGATGATGGGAGATTGCTGGCTACTTTAAGAGGACACGCCGCTGAGATATCAGACATGGCTGTCAACTATGAGAACACTATGATAGCAGCTGGGAGTTGTGATAAAATGATCCGGGTCTGGTGTCTTCGGACTTGTGCACCTTTGGCTGTTCTTCAAGGACACAGTGCATCCATTACATCACTACAGGTAATTGTTTTAAGCCCTATTAAATCTTTTTTGGTTTTAATTAAAGTTTAAATAAGCTTTATGAAGTCACTTTAATGATGTGTAGTATCTAAGGTTTGAAACAGAAAAGTATCCTGTGTTATGAATTGGATGGACTTATAATGTCATAGCAAGCATGAATTTCATCAATTCTGTATTTCTGGTTACTGTTAGTTTCTATTAATTTGTTTTTTAAAGGAGAGTTTCATTATTTGGACTGTCTTTGTTCTTTTAAAGACTGTTTCTCCTGTGATTGCTTTTCAGTTCTCACCATTGTGCAGTGGCTCAAAGAGATACCTGTCTTCTACTGGGGCAGATGGCACTATTTGCTTTTGGCTTTGGGATGCTGGAACTCTTAAAATAAAGTTAGTTGATATTTTTTTCCATAAAATAAGTGTTTAATGATTGAAAGTTTAAAAGATAATTGGCAAAGGGAAGGGAATATATTTAATTTTCTTTCCTCAAGTAAATGAGCTTTGATTTTTTTTTCACTAATCTTTCAATTTTATGCCTTACCATTTGTTTTTTATGCTTTAGTTTTTTTCCCTTCATACTTACTGATTTTATTTATCTTAGTCTTGAGCCCACTTGTTTCCTTAAAGAATATATGTTTTATTGCCATGTCTTTCTGTGTGCTGTATAATTTTATTGCAGTAGCTTAATTTTGTACTGAGAACATTATCATTGCTAAAGCTGTTTTTTTTAGAATAATTTAAATTACATTACTGAGTCTATAAAGATTAGATTTTATTTTAGATTTAGGAAAACAGTTGAAGTTTCATTATGCTACATTAAGGTAGATACACATATTCCATAGTAGCACTTCACAGTTTTGCTTTTACTCTGTTAAAGTCTTTCTTTGCAGAGATGGAAAGATCGCCCAGCAATTAAAAACTCTTGTAACTCCAGTTCCAGGGAATCTGATGCCCGATTGTAACCTTCACAAACATCAGGGACATAGGACATAGTGAACATACATACTTAACAGGCAGAACACTCACGCAAAGAAAATAAATCTAAAGTTTTTCTTAAATTTTGGTTTATCAAGTCAGGGTGACAGAACAGTTAATCTTTTGATTAAGGACCCTGAAGTAAAGAAAGGTAAAATGGTTTTCTCATACCTGAAACCATTGGTAATAGGTAGTACTTTGCTCTGTGTGCCATTCTTTTGAAATAGGTTCTCACTTTGTAACCCATGTTGTCCTGAACTCATTATGGAACCCAGACTGGCCTCAGATTTGAGCAGTCATCCTGCTTCAGCCTCCCAAGGGCTGGGATTAAGGATCATTTGTTTGCATTATCTTTTCTTAAATAATCACAAACAAAACTGCTTTAATTTTAGTTCTATGTTTTGTTAAAGCTAGATAGTGTGCTTTAACAACCCTAATTATTTATTTTATGATTAAATAGTTAAAAATAGGGTATAAAATAAAATTAATGTTATAGCATTATAAGCACATTGTTACATGCATTCAGAAATATTGTCATACTTTAAATCTATAATGTTGTTTGTTTTTCAACATAGTGGAACTTTAAGCATGTCAAAAATATTAATCTCAAACATCTATATAGTTTATATAGTTGAATATAATCTATTTTATATGGCTCATACTATTTGAAGGAATTTTATTGTTGATATGAGTCACATTCCTTCAGATTTACTTTCGTATAAGGATAAATTCTTGTGTTTTGGAAGAATATTTTATCATGTTATATTAGAAGGTGAGCAAAAGTGGGGGAGATGGCTTAGTTGGTAAAGTGCTTGCTGTGCAATCATGAGAACCTTACTTTGGAGCCTCATCTTCCTGTATAAAGCTGGACATGGAGGCACATCTGTCACCTCAGGAACTAGGAATAGTGGTAGGGCAGAGGTAGGTGGACTCTTGTAGCTTGCTGGCTATCTATGTTAGCCAATCTGTGAGATCTTATGTACTAACAGACCTTGCCTCAAAAATGAGGTGGAGTCATGACACATGTTGTCAGCTTCTGGCTTCCACATACATACATTCATGGTTGCATGCATGTTCATAACCCCACCCCCAACACATACATATAATACACATGAACCACAGAGGTAACACCTATTTTGACAATGTGTTCATTTTTATAGTTAATTTATTTCCATACACATTTGTATGCTGCTATCTACTATATGATGTTTGTTAGAGGTGATTAAAAGTGGATATAATTCACTTCTAGAAAGATAGTGACTTTGGGATTATTCCATGTACTAATTGACATATGTATCAGAATGTACTATGGAATTTATGTCTAGAATTTTACAGGTCTGCTGATATTGTTTAGATTTTGATGTTGGTTTTTAGGAAGATAGCCAACTGTTACTTAATTTTTTTTTCAAAGATCAATTTTCATAGGATTTTTTTAAATGATTTTTTTTTTTCATTAAAGTCCAAGACCTACAAAATTTACAGAACGCCCTCGGCCTGGAGTTCAGATGATCTGTTCTTCATTCAGTGCTGGTATGATTGTTTACCCTTTTAATTTTCAACTTAAAATTATGTATTAGGAAGTACCTCTCAAAGATAAAATTATGAAAATATTTTCTGCTGCAGTATATATCATATTCCTACACATATACTAGAGCTAATAAGAATAACAGACTGAAAGTCAAATTAGATACTTTTATTTTGATATTTTGAACTTTGCTGGAATTACATGTATGCCATACTTCTCTCGAAGGAGGGAATGAATTGTTTCAAAATTGACTGATTAAACAATTAACTTTAGACTGTCTCATTGCAGATAAAATATTTTAAAACTTGTTTGTTTTCATGGATTTTGGAGATGTTCTATAAAATCAGTAAAAATTTTAAAATGTGATGCATGTATGTATTCATTTTGTCCTCAGAATCTTGTTCTAATTAAGCTTCTGAAGTAGCATTTTAAATGGTTGCCAGAAGGTTTTTATGACCTAAGTATTTAAAGTGAATTGATAAAATTAGCGTGAATAGATTGGTGTGTAATGTTCCCAGTCTGTCTTCCTCCCACTGTTTTTATGAACCTTTGTTCATTTGATAATTGCAGATAGCAGTACTGAGTGATGGTAAAGGACAGTAAACACCAGTGCATCTGCTGCTGCCATCAAGACAGTGTTTGTTCTAGTTTAAACACAAACATAGGCTCTTCATATGTATTCTTTTTTTCATACTGTGAGTTCATGCTCTTTTTCTAAAGATACATTGTTGTTTTTAAGTGTCCAGTAAGTGGATCATTCATCAAAGGTACTTAAAATGTTTCAATGTGTATAACAATTTGATGCTGTGTGAGAGTATTGTTCTCAAGATGAATAAAATTGTCACATAGTGATTTTTTTAAAGTAAAATATATATACTATGGTACGCTGACATAAGTGAACTTTGAGAGCAGGCTTGTATTACTGCAGACTTTGTGTAAGCATGTTACTGAGGGAGTTGTAAAAGTAGGATAGGACTTTGATAGGTGGGTAAGAGGACAGCAAAAGAAGACTCAGCAAAGTTAATGGTATCATGTAGAAGTCGTGTTTTACTTAGTGTGCTGTTGTTCCTCATAGGTGGAATGTTCTTGGCCACTGGAAGCACTGACCATATTATTAGAGTTTATTTTTTTGGATCTGGTCAACCAGAGAAAATATCAGAATTGGAGTTTCATACTGTGAGTATTGGTGAAGGATATAGATGGGTATAGCCTTAAGTGAATCAAGATTATATTCAGCTTCTGCTTTGTTTTTTGTTTGTACAGGACAAAGTTGACAGTATCCAGTTTTCTAACACTAGTAACAGGTAAAATATGTTTGTCTTATTTAGTTGCAACTTTAAAATTAGAAGATAAAGTTAAGTGTAGTAGTCAGATTTTAAGTTGTATAGAAGTTATTCATTCTTGAAGAAAAGAATATAACCTTCTTACCCAATTTCCATAGTGTTAGATATTTGGGTACTTATCTAATAACAGGAGGAGTTGTTGTTATTGTTTTTTTTTTTAATCCATACTTTTATCTTTCTATCAGAAGAGAAGTCTTTCATAAAAAAATGGAAATTTATCACATTTGAGATATTCCTAGATGTTAAACAATGGTTTTCTGTAAATATTCTCTTGTTTTGGATTTAAAAGAAATGGAGCTACTTCTTGGCACTTTGAATGAACAAATCTAAGTCTTTGTTTCTGAGGAGCAATTTTTTTCCCTTAGAAAATATTTATTCTGTTTATTATATCTTTTTAAGTGTTCTTTTCATCTGCTTGTTCATGACTTAGTAAAATAATCTTACAAACTTATAAAGTTTTGGGAGTTCTTAGATTTATAGAGACAGAGAGAAACCATTTCTATTATATTGGAATATTTTGTAAATAAAGGTGTCCTTTAAAAAGAGAATTTTGGGAAAAGTACATTTTGATAAAGCCTCTGTGATCCTTCCCTATCTTTGGCGGGATCGGACTTTATTATTTATTTACTCATTCATTCATTCATTCATTCATTCATTCATTTATTTTATAGGTTTGTAAGTGGTAGTCGTGATGGGACAGCACGAATTTGGCAATTTAAACGAAGAGAATGGAAAAGCATTTTGTTAGATATGGCTACTCGTCCAGCAGGGTAAGGGACCAAACTTGATTTATTTATCTAGATTATTTAATAATATAATGTTGTTTGGAATAACCTTTGCTTATAAAGTTGTATACCATGTTAAGATGATGTTTATCTTCAGTAATTAGAGGTACTATAGGAGATGAACAGTGCTGATTTTTGTGAACTATCTCATTACCCTGAATATTAAGACCTGTTGAATTAATTTTTAGTTCAGTTTTATTAAATGGATGAAAATGTTTACACTCCAAGTGTCTTATGTTTCATATCTGGTTTTTGTTTGTTTATGAGACTTGATCTCATATACTGAGTTGGTTTGAACTTTTTTGTATCAGAGATGGCATTGGATTCCTGATCTACCCACTTCCTTCACTCCACCTGTTGTTTCTGTAATTACAGGCAGGTGGCACCAAGCCTTCCTGAATGTTATTAAGCAGGTACCCTACCACCTAAGGCCTCCCGCAAAGAATAACTTTTTAGTTCCAGTGGCTTTCTTCAGCCACGAAAAATGATAATACATGTTGTAACAGTTTTAGTTTTACTATTTGATCATTTCCTCTACTTCTGTTTATGTGTAGTTGTCTCAGTGGATGTGAGAACAGAGCAGTTAGGATAGCATGGTAGCAACAGTAAAAGGTGGGACAATGAGCTGCATGGCATAATGCTGCTGGACCACAGGTAGTTACAACAGTGGAATTCCCCTCAGGGTCTCTGCTCCTAATGGCTTTTGGATGCTGTAATCCTGGACATCTTGGATTTTCTGAATCCTTACGATAACTTCTGCCATTTTATCTGTTCAACTGTTTTCATTTATAATAACTATTCATGTTAATAACTACAAACTGTATTTAAAAACACATTTTATCTTTGTCCTGTATTTATAACATCAATTTAAACAGTAAACTTTCCCTTTTCAGCCAAAATCTTCAAGGAATAGAAGACAAAATTACAAAAATGAAAGTAACAATGGTAGCTTGGGATCGACATGACAACACAGTTATAACTGCAGTTAATAACATGACTCTGAAAGTTTGGAATTCTTATACTGGTCAACTGATTCATGTCCTAATGGTGAGAAACAAAACCCAAACTTCTAATATTACTGAGGTGGGCCGGGTGTTGGTGGTGCACGCCTTTAATCCCAGCACTCGGAAGGCAGAGGCAGGCGGATCTCTGTGAGTTCGAGGCCAGCGTGGTCTCCAGAGCAAGTGCCAGGATAGGTTCCAAAGCTACACAGAGAAACCCTGTCTTGAAAAACAAAATAACAACAACAAAAAATTACTGAGGTAGATTTTAGAATGTAGTCTAAATACATAAAATAAAGCTGATATGTTGTCTAAAACCTCTTGATAGATAACAGGGAATAATTAAAAAGTGTAAGCAGATTGACTTGGAAATACATTGTAAATGCTTGAAGACTTTGTTATTAGGAATGCATTAATTGTATTCTTGAGTATTTACTAATACCTAAGCCATGGACAGTGCTGTTATATTAGTGCAGTCTATTATTTTCTTTTAGGCATTGGTAAAGTTGAAATTTTTGCCAATTTAATATGATTTCTAGAACCATTGTCATTCTTCTGTATAATTTTAAGCATTTGTAACTGCTTTACTACTTCAAAATATTTCAGGGTCATGAAGATGAGGTGTTTGTTCTTGAGCCGCACCCATTTGATCCTAGAGTTCTCTTTTCTGCTGGACATGATGGAAACGTGATAGTGTGGGATCTAGCAAGAGGAGTTAAAGTCCGATCTTATTTCAATATGGTAATTATATTTCTTGTTTAATACCTGTTAAAGATGTGGAGGATTTTTGACAGAGGTGTTCTACATATCACAAGCGAAATCCATTTTTAAACTTCATGCCTTATTTTGACTTTAAATGTCTATAAATAAGGAATTCCATATATTTACTAAACTTGAAATTAGTTGTTCATTTTATAATGCCTGTGTATTGTGATAACTGGCTTAATTTTACTTTATCATTGAAACTTTGATCAGTAAGTCATGTAAATGAAGTTATAGGGAAGAAAATGTGTTTGAAAAACCAGTGTGGATAAACTATTAATAAATCTTCATGCTGCATTTTGGTTGTTTTTTGTTTTTGTTTTTGTTTTTGTTTTTTTTTTAAACACAATTTGATTTCAGTACATCAGTTTTAAAATTGAAGTCAAAGAATTACATAGTGCCTAATTTTGGTCAAATTGATAGTGTGCTAGATGTTTATTTTGGCTCCATGTTTTTTGCCTCCATACTGTGTTCTTATGCATACTTAGCATATTTTTTTTGAACATAAATTATCATTGGTTTGATTACATACATAGCTTGCTAACCAGTATCTGCCTTCCTCTTTCACCAATATGTGAAATGAAAGGAGTCCTTAAATACTGCACCTTACAGACACATAAAAAATTACTTCCTCTATTTGAGGTTTCAGCTAACAAGAAGAAACAGGTTTCTACTATTTTTACATGTTTAGATTTTTAAAACCAGAACTCTTTTGTAAGTCATAAGGTGATATTATTAGCAAAATAACAAAAATCAGAATTACTTTGTAAGATAAATTTCATTTAGTTTTCAGGCTGGGAATATAGCTGATGGTAGTACTTGCTCAGCATGTGTGAGGCCTGTAGTTTTAGATTCATTGGGGCCACACATGCATGCATACCCCACAGTTATTTGTAAGGTGTTTTACTTGTGAAAAGATAGGATGACAGTGAATGCTATCCTGGATTGTTTATAAGAATAAAAAGAAGTTTTATTAGTGTAGTCACTAACTTTGGCATTCACCATGGATGGGCCTTAGTGTACATGCGGTAAGAAATAAGAATTGTACAATTCCCATTTTCATGAAAAAACTATTGTTTTGGTTAGTTGTTAGTGATGAATGGATTTCCTTTGTGATTATGTAGAGTTTTTCTTTTCTTTTTCTTTTTTTTTTTTTTGTAAGTAAATTCATGAATGTGGTAAGGCGTTTTTTGTTTTTTTTTTTTTTTTTTTTTTTTTTCTTTTCTGACTTCATATTTCTGGGTTGCTCCTTTTCTAAGCATCTTTGTTGAATAAGGACATTGGTCATTTCTCAGTTGTTCCTTGTTTGTGGCTGTATGCACGTTACTGGTTCCACTTAGTAATTTACATTTCCAAAGAACGTTCTTACACTGTTATAGAAATGAGTAATTTTCAGTCAATTAAACACTGACTCAATTTTCCCTTATCAGGTAAGTTTGGAACACCAACATTCTACCATTTCAGCAGACTTACAAATAGCTGCACTTTTAGTTTTATTGATTTTTCTGGTCCTGCTGTTACAAATTAGTTACATAACCAGGGATCTAGTTTTAAAAACTCCAGGAATCTAGTTTTAAAAACTCGTTAATTACTCTAAAATTTATTTATGAATCATTGTGTGGTAGTCCATACTTGTATTCCTAACACTTAGAAATACAATCAGGAGGATCAAGGTTTAAAGGTCATTTTTAGCTACATAGTGAATTCCAGTCCAACCTGAACTATTTGAAACCACATCTGTTTAAGAAAAGAAGGCAAGAAAAGGAAATGATTTTGTTTAGTGTCAGTTAAGGAATTTTTTTGTTATTATTCTTTCTGTCTGGAATAAGAAATAAAACTTAAAGACTGGTTTTAAATTGTAATTATTAGTAATTTCAAACGGAGGAAAAACAAACTGAAAAAAATTATCCTTTTTACAAAGAGTTACAGAGCATGCACTACCTTTTATTTCATTAAAAACAAGTTATTACCTTTTTAAGAAATGATTTTTAGTGGTTTCTAATTTTTAGGTGATTTGGCTTTTTTGAAACAGAGTTTCTCTTTATAGCTCTGGAGCCTGTCCTGGAACTAGCTGTTGTAGACCAGGCTGGTCTCAAACTCACAAAGATCTGCCTGGCTGTGCCTCCTGAGTGCTGGGATTAAATGCGTACACCACCACCTCCCAGTGCCTTTTTTTTCTTTTTTTTTAAATAGATGACAGTGTACTTAACAAATTGCACAAAATTGTAGCTTTATGAAAAACTTTTATAAGAAGGGTAATTTTTATTTCTGGTTTCATGGAGAAATGTCCATTAGAAAACTTTGCCCAACTTGGCTTTGATCACACATTTAGTATAAAATTTTCATGTTTTATAAGACTATTACTAATATGTTCTTATTGCCAAATATATTCAGGGTAGTAGCTGAGAAATTTTCATTATTATTGTGTAACAGCTACTAGTTAAATCCAGCTAGTGATGTGTCTTTAAGAGTAACAATTTAACAGTGATAAAATTCTGAGTGGCTTTTCTGTGATCTTTATTTCACAATCTTTGTCAATTACGTGGCTGCCACTGACATAACTTCTTTTTGGTCTTTTTGCTTAATTGCCTGTCCTTTTCTTTCTTTTCTTTTCTTTTTTTTAAATGGGCAGATGGCAGGAAAAGCATCCAACACTGCAACTAAGAAATTAAAAACAGCTTTGGATGAAATAGAAGCTGATGGCCTTACTGTCCTCTCATACCATTGCTGAGTTGTGGCCTCTGCTTAGCTATTTGGCTTTGTTAAATACCACAAAGCTTTGATGAGTCCAGATGCAATCTCTGATGTTATATTGTACTTATCATCTTAAATCACATTTGAATTTAATGAATATTTGTAAGCATTATTTGTAATGTCTAGTCATCCTTTGTAGAATTTGAGAATGAATAAGTCTCAGAGAGTACTTCAGTTTAGTCTTAGAAATGGTGAATGCTTATATAGTATTATTTTGAAGAATTTAAAAATTGAAGCTTATAAAATGAGTAAGTAAATTCACCTTTGGACCAACAGCCAGAAGATAGGGAATGAAAGCTATGCCTTTAAAAAATGGATTTTTAAAATATATGCAAGTACTTAAAAGTAAATGTTTAGGACTGGGAATATAGCTCAAATGCCAAAGTGAATGTTTACCTAACATGCACAAGGCACTGGGCTTGGTCGTGGCACCACAACGTCACCCAATTATTATGAGTTTTTAGAATATTATTTGAACATTAGTCTCTGCTTTTCAAATAATAGGATTCATGTCTAAATATATATATTTTTGAAAGATAAAATTAATCTGAAAAGTAATTCAATGTTATATATAACTCATCATTTTCTATACTTTACTAATTAGAAGTCTGTTTTTGAAATCTTCAGAAGTAATTAAAATCTTGTATTATTAAAGTTTTTCAAGGAAAAAGTTGAATTTTTAAGTGTATATGCTTGAGATATACAGTCATTTCATTTTAATAAAACTTAAATAAGCACCAATAGCATTCAGGCAAGCATTCTTTCTATTAAACTAAGACTTTTTAAAGTTCCTCCTTTATTTTAGGACTGGTTTAAATTAGTAAATATAATGTTTGGGATTGAGAATTCATATAGTTTCTTTTATGCTTAAATAATTTCTAGTTGATTTCACTTTAAAATCATATAACTGAATTCTCAGCGTGCTTAAGAGGTATGCTTGGTAAAGGGCTGAAACACATTCCTCTCAACTCCTCTATTCTGTTGTCTCATCGCATTTGTGGTAAACAACCTTAATTCCTCTCTTCCCCTCAACTGCTTTCCCATTTATTTGCCCCTTCCTCTTCTAGGGAAGAAAGACACTAAAGAGAATACTGTAAAATTATCAACACATAAAGACATTATTCCTTAAAAAATACTGAGTTTCTAGACTTTTTACATTTTGAAACCATGCTAGTACTTTAATGTTCCAGCTTGAACAGTCCTTGCACAATCTGAGTAATCAAGAAAAAGTGCTGTATATTTGGGCAGTTTATTAAAACATGCAATATATTATGAATTCTTGAAGCTAATTGTGTATAGCTTACCAAGCCCATGTTTTGCTTGGCGTTGACATGAGTAAAACATCATTGTAACTTTTTTGCTAAGAGTCTTTTGAAACTACAGTGTCCAAATGCCAGTTAAATGCTTAAAGGCAGTTGTAGAAATATTTAAATTGTACAAATAACTTGAAAATGGGTGCTACATAATCTCTGTAGTAAGATTTGTATCATTCACAATCCTAGAAAGAATTAGGTAGGCTTACAGTTTATTAAAAGCTTAAAAAAAGGAAAAGAGTTGGTTTTGGCTCCCCTTTTTCCATCAAATTGTCATACAGTATAACTAGAATTAATAAATTTACAAATGGATTTTAATTTTAAAGATTAAAGTATTTCTTCACGTTTGCATTTCTTAGTGCTAGTATACATTAAACATACAGATTATACAAGTAGCATATGTGTTAAGTAATAAATTAACAGAGCTCACAGTAGCACTTTCAGGCCGTGTTAGATTTTTCTTGTCTTTGCTGCTTCTGCTTTATCTTGTTTGCTGTTCACATCTCGTAGTCCTTACTAGTTTGTACTCCATATTTTTCAGTTTTTGTCAGGATATTCAAAGCTGTAGTTTGTTGCTTCTTACCTGGTTTTTATTTTAATTGAAAAAAAATGCAATATGACTCATTAGCAAATGTTTTTTTTGGTTTCTACTGAATTGATAATCTGCTTTGCTTTTGTTGTTTCATGGATGGATTCCAAAGAAGAGATTTTATTTAATAAAGTTTTCTTTATTTTTATAATTGTTCTCTTAACTGTTCTTTATTAAGAGTCTTTTAAAAATGTTCCAGTGTCCACTAATCCAGAACAATGTATTTCTCCTTGCAACATTCCAAATGAGTAGAGGCTGCCAATAAACCACTCAGAATTTTTGCAAATGCGTACTTCTGAAATTAGCATGTTCTCAGTGTGACC